GAGAGAGAGAGAGAGAGAGAGAGAGAGAGAGAGAGAGAGAGAGAGAGAGAGAGAGAGAGAGAGAGAGAGAGAGAGAGAGAGAGAGACAAAATACAATCCAAGCCCACTAGTAATGCAGATCTGAGATACGCAAAAATTATTTTTTTAAATTATAAAAACAAATACAGTAGAACAACAACAACCTGTCCTCTCTCCAAGAAAATCAGCTGAACAAACGATCATTTCTCACTTTCCCTCCTTCATTTTTTCCATACTCTGTCACGACTCAGTGGAACCAGGCGCTCGTCAATTTTTGTGCAATTAGAGTTATTGGTATCATCTTAAAGCTTGTTCATTTGTCTATCTTTCGACGAAAAGAATACTCATTTATCTTGAATAGAAGTCGAGATATTTATGACTGAAGGAGGTGATTCTAGAGGTAAAATTAATGAGAAAATGGCCGCGAAAGTTTACTGTTTTCCATAGTTGAAGCATCAATGGAAACAGAAAATTTACATGTTTTGAGCTTTTAATCAACGTTTTTCAGTAAAATCCACACATGTATCTTTAAATGGACATTAATAATAGGTGTTGAGCTACAAAAAAAATTCAATAAATTTCTTTATTTTGACGAGCACCTGATTTTACTATAATGCCTCAGATATAATTACCATGACACTATCATCCGAGATAACAACCTGTAAGTGACTACCACTTTTCTCCTTGACAAAGGATGGTCATCTTGAACAAGATTCAAGTCTAAAATGAAAAGAACAAAAGAAAAAAAACATTGTGTTTTTAATTTACATACACAAAAAAAAGAACAATTACCATTTGTACTCTGTTCACTGCGGCCAGAAGAGCCCGTCTTCTCATCTCCTGTGTCCTGATCACTGCCATCTGCAGGGACGCCCACACTCGCCCCCTCCGCATCCCTGCCCACCGCAGCCAACGCAACTGTGAGGGAGGGAACAATCTCCACATCATCAGAGTTCTGACCACCACTCGGAACGACGTTCACCTGTCCATTCGCCACCTCCAGCTCCTGCCGGGCCTCGATTCCAGCATTGTTATAATTTCCCTCCTCCTTCTCACCACTCTCACCACCTCTAGGAGTCGAGCCAGAGGCAGATGGCCGGTCCGAGTTCGAACCCTCCTCTTCCTCCTCCTGCGATTGCATAGTCTCACATGTGGTGGCGGTTGTGGTGGCAGAGGAGGAAGCAGCAGCATCGACAGTTGCAGCAGCATCGCTACTTTCAGCCACAACAGCAGCGGTAAGAGAATCAGAAGCGACGACAACATCACCACCACCACCTAGATCATCAGCATCACCACAGCTACCAACACCACCACCACCACCGCCATCAGCAGCAGCGTCATTAACACTGCGGGCATCAACATCCCCGTCTGAGTCATCGTAAGGGACCTCCAGGACAACAGGGGGGGCCCCGGGCACCTCAGGAGGGGCCCCAGGCGTGGGTCCGCCGCCACTCACGCCGTCCTGAAAGCCATCTACCCCCCCACCACCACCACCACCACCAGAGGCAGCCTCCACGGAGACGCCCAGCGACACATCACCTGATGAGTCTGCCACTTCGCCGGTCACAGCTGGTTGTTGAGGCGGCTGTTCCAGCTGTTGTTGCTCCTCCCCCTGCAGCACCTGCTGAGTACTAGCCCCCTCCTCGGCACCTCCGTCCTCGGACTCCATAGTTTGGCTGAAGGGAAGAAAATAGTACATGATACAATTAATCGTTTTCGTTTTATGCTAAAGTAAGAGGACAATAGTACATGATACAATTGATTTTGTTTTACGCTTAAGTAAGACAAGAGGATTTTTGTTGCTGTTGTTTGTTTTAGTAAGAGTTTTACGGCACTTACAGCACAATAAGACATAAGGTCAAAAGAGTGAAGAAGATTAGATGTGTTACAAGAGAGTAACAATCACAGAAAAGAGGAGAGGGGAGATAAGGACGATAGATCTTTGATAGGAAAGAAGAAGGTAGCCACACTAGAACACCCGCAAACACTCAAATAAGTAAGAGTTTTACGGAATTTGCAACACAATAAGGTTAAACGAGGGCCGAAAATTAGATGTGTTACAAGAGAGTAACAAACACAAAAAAGAAAGAGGGGAGATAAGGACGATAGATCTTTAATAGGAAAGAAGAAGGTAGCCACACTAGAGCACCCGCAAAACACCCAGTAAGTAAGAGTTTTACGTACGTGCAACACAATTAGGCCATACAATAATTCATTAACAGATTTACATTGACCGCTTGATACACTGAAGCTTTCGTATTTCCAAATACCCAGAACACACTGTCCATCTGATCCATTTGGTTCAGTCGGAGGCAGCCAGATTTTTTTCCCCCAGAATGATGAGGTAAAAACTACTATTTTGGCACAATATGACTGAATTCAACTGAATTCGACTGTGACCTTCAAAACAAAACACATTTCAAGCGCATATATATTAGATTATCCGGTAGATATGCCCCCACACTGTAGTGCTTTTTATTTCTGTTTTATTTGAGTGTTTGAATAAAGAGAAGCACATCGACACTATAGTGCTGGGAAAAAATAATACAGACAGACAGACCCAACAGAGAGAAGGTGAAGAAGTAGGACCTACCAGTAGCACCCTCCAACCACCAGCAAATGAGTAAAGAGAAACACGCTCACAATGTAACAGTTGTTTAATGCAGGGGAAAAGCAAGATGATCAAACACGAACAACACAGAAAAGGAAACGAATCAGAAAAAGAATACTGAACAGTTCTTCTTCTTCTTCTATCCCATGGGTTGGGGCAACCGTGAAGGCACCACTGCATCTGAAAACCAGCTCTCGCCATCTATTTTTGTCCTCTGCTATCCTCAGATTGTCCTCCATCGTCTTCCCTGTCCACTCTGTAATGTTGTCCTCCCATCTCCTTCTCTGCCTTCCTCTGTTTCTCTTTCCTTG